GTTTCTGTCAGAGACATAATGTCGGGAGAAAGGTCATATATCTGCACTTTCACTTCATCTAACTTGGACAACAGACTCTGTGCGTTGGTATAGAAGAATTCAAGTGACATATTTTTAGCGAATTTTGTCTCGGTGGAATTTGAACTTCGTTTAACATCGGCTGGGTAAGCCACGCTCAGGCCATTGTTCGAAGTATTATCGGTTGGTTCAAGAACCTCATATGCCTCATATTGTGTCCTTAAAGGGAAGCATATTTAGAGGAATATTGCTGATTCTGCAGCCCATAACCGATAAATTCTTAAGCCGACAGTGAAAAAATGTGCACCCATGCGCCCTTGCCTGGTACGCTACCGCTTCCAAGAAGGAAAATGGGGTCCATCAATACCCATTATAGTTGTACCACTGCTCCCCATTCCAAAATGCTAGCACTCTACGGGCTGCCGTTTCTTTTTCCAGAACATACATGGTTACATAAAGACAGTAATAAATATATTTAGTATTCAAGAGTTTTATTCACTGTAATCTCGCGTTCTTGTGCTATGTTCTGTTAATTTTCATTTAATACGATGATGTTTCTCATTCTCTGGCCATCATTATACAACCCAAAGATGAAGGGAAGCATGTAAGTTTTCGTGCTATAACGAACGACTTTCGGGAGAGTAAACTTTGCTTAACATATATTTTTTCCTATTCTGCCGAGATCAAATTATAATATTTTAAGAAAATATACTTTTCAAATTAATATTACAATTAACTTGCTACCGTATCTAGAAAACGGAAATCAGGTACAACTTCAAAATGCGAGATGTGCGCAAAATGCAAATAATTTATCAGACTGTCTGTTAAGCACGAAAAAAATTCAATGATAATGGACGAAAGGACAGATCGGATTTATTTTAATGAGCGTTGGAAACGAGACAGTAGGTTATGAAGCGGGAGAATAAAAGGTGAACGTGCAGCGGAGAGCAAGGGAGAGCACTCGGATAGGAGTACAGAAGCCATTGAAACTATATCGACCGAGACGTAATCCTGACGTTGCCCCTATTTCTCTCCTTCTTCCGCTCCTTCTGAATTGAATTCGGTCCTTGTCCCCTCTCGTGCCCCTTATTCGTCTTCTTGTAACTTCTAAGGCGCTAGCATCTAACATTACCATTTCTTTCGCCTCACAATTTCTTCTGTCTGTCTGACCGTCGCTTGATTCAAACCATGGCAAGAAAAGGAAAAACTGTGTGTTCAGGGAAATGGGAACCAGCTACTCCCTGAAGTCCGTTCAAACCGGAACACTGCTGCTAGGTCAGAGTCGGCGGCCTCCTCCGAGTTCATTATTAGCACGTTTGCCACAACAAAAGTTCTTTAAAAAAGATAATTAATCGAGAATGTAAACCAGGTGCAGAAGTGTATGGAAATAAAATCAGGAATTGTTCTGTCTAGATAAAATGAAACTGCCTCTTTCTATCCCCTTTGCCAAGTTTTCTCCCGTTGAAGTTTTTGAAATAAGAGTTTTCCGTGATTTCTCCCGTCACTTTCAAGTTTTTGATTACTGAGGTCTGGCCTTACACTTGCGAAGTTTGTGAATATTTTTTTCACAGGACAGTAGTTGAAGGGTTAGTTCAACGTTGTTGGAAAAACACTTAGCCTATTTGTTATAACACAATTTCTAAAATCGTTAATATATATATTTCAGATAGGAAAGAACATTACCGTTTACGTCGCACCCATTTTTTTATAATTTCACTCAGTGTTTAAATTATTGGATGTTTACAAATTGAACTTAATGATACTTATTACTTGATTTAAACCGAACGATTCTATGATTTGTACAATTTTTCCTTGAAAGTTATTGCCCAGTTGTTGGCTTTTTCCTGTGTATTGCCTTGGTCTATTTTCTTTATCACATTTTGTGTTGCGAACGGCTTCGTTTTATTGTTATCCCTTTTTGCGACTTTAAAATTTAGAATGAACTTAACCCATTGTTTTTATAAATCAGTTAACAAATAGCCAAGGTCACTAGTGTTGAGTTCACGTTTGGTTTGGGCGGTTGTGGTGTCTGAGGGTGATCGCCGAAATGGACGTAAATTCTTCCAGGGAAGAAAATAAAAAGGCCAAAATTGCGCTTAAGAAGGAAATTGGCCTCTGGCGGGGTGTAAGCATAATAGTTGGCATTATTGTTGGCTCTGGAATTTTTGTGTCTCCTGTTGGCGTTCTCCGTTACTCCAAGTCGGTTGGCCTTTCTTTCGTTATGTGGACAATTCCGGCAATCTTCAGTCTTCTTGGTGCTCTTGTTTATGCTGAACTCGGTGTGAGGATTCCAAAATCAGGTGGCGAATATTCTTACATACTAGAGGCCTTTGGTGGTCCACCGGCATTCGTTTGTTTGTATGTAACATTTGTGGTGATTGGTGGTGTCAGTTGTGCAGCGAACGCTCTCATTTTTGCTCAGTTTATGTTGGAGCCGATTTACCCTAACTGTGAAAAACCGAGTTCTGCGGTACAATTGATTGCCCTATTGTGCCTATGTAAGTTAATTACTTTTCTGATTCAACGTTAACTTATAGTACTTATTTGTGCAATAAATGCGTTCAGAGTGAAATGGGCTACGCGCGTTGCCGTATTTTTCACCATTTGCAAAATGTTGGCCCTCCTCCTGATCATTGGCTTCGGGATTTACTATCTTGCCACAGGTGCGTAAAACTGCTCCTTATTGAATATTTTCTAAGACTCTTGTTATTACTGTTTATTTAGAAGATCTTACACGATCGATCATTTTTATTTGCTTGCCCCTCCGTATTCAAACACGTTTGGTTACAAAAACAACAATTGAAAGCAAAACCAAACAGGAATTAAATAAAGGACATGAACATGATTAACTCGGAAACGAACAAAAAACTTAACCACTTCTAGTGAGTATCAAGAAACAAACGCAAGTGTTTTTTTATTAATGGGGTCATTTGAGTAAGGGCTTGAGCGCATTTTTATGTCTACTTTTAAACCTGTAAATGAGACTTGCACGTGCTGCTGAAATAAAGCGCAAATAAGACTAAGTATTGAACACGTACTGGTTACATAATGTTTTAAAAGTCGTACAAACAAGACGTTTTCGGCATTTGTTTACCTAACCGCGTCATTTTGTTAAATCTGCCAAGTTACGTAATTTACATGTCTGAATATCAATCTAGCTGTTTGCATGCAGTCTCTTTTCAAAAAGGTTTTACGTGGGAAATTCTTTTCTGTGTCGCTCAATAAGACTCAAATAAGGATATTTTGTATCAATGCTGTTTAAAATCACCTATTTCCACTGCACTTAGACACCATTTTCTATATATTTTTATATCCGAGAAATAAACTTCGTTAAACATTTTAGGTCACGTTCAGAGCTTCCAAGAGCCCTTTGAAGGCTCAGCTACGTCTCCTGGTTTGTTGGCTCTCGCATTTTATCAAGGATTTTGGGCATTTTTTGGATGGTAAACAGACATTAAGTAAACATATATCCATGAAGTTTGAATATGATTTCTCAATGGGTTTATATCAAAACTTTCCACTGTTTGTATGTCTTGTAGTTCATTTTAGAAGTCTCGACCAATTTCAGAATATAAACGATGAGTGAAGTGAATAACTAACTCCCTGTCAGCTGGCCACCAAAATGTTCTACTTATAAGTAGATGACGGTGACGGTAAAGTTGAGACCGCGGCAGTTGGTAGAGAAGTAGTAAGGGAGCGCACCCTGAAGTATGTTAAAGTAGTAGTCCTTACTGAGGCGTGGTTGGCCAACCGAGAGCGCGTTGAGCCCGAGGCGGCTCATTTTCTTTATCACTTACTTCGTCCTCAGATTTTGAGGACAGCTGACGACGAATCCTAGAAAAGGAAAAATTAGTTGTACTAAACGCTTACTTCCTTCGACAACCTCTGCCTTTCAGCGTTGGTTCTGAACTGCATAAATCGGAGGTCTCCTCCGCCACCTTAGTGCGACGGCGAGCGTCCTCTAATGTGAAATAATTACTCAGTATCCTAACTGGGTAATAGGGCGTGCCCTCTGGTGGCCGCTCGTCCATTTCCAAACAGCGTTTTCGCACTTTTCGATCATCTGGCCACATGACACGGCTCTTGTCGTGTTCATGGAATCACTTCTCGGCAACCACATCTACTGAATTTTCAGTTGTAAATACGACAAAAAAGTACATCTAAATGAAAAGCAGGCGATAGTCAGGTCATTTACGTTAATAACAAAACGGGAAAAGGAAAAAATTATAATAGTTTTATTCTTCCGAAAAACAACATAAAAAATTAGGCCCTAGAAACGAATTTGCCAATTCCTCTAGAGTGAACATTGTACAGGAATAATCACCCAAAATTATATCAGAAGATATAATAAAAACAGTATATTTAACGTACCAGAGCTATTTATCACGCGAGAACTCGTGGAAGCAGAATACAGTCGTAAACACGCAGGTCACGACGGCAGGTCAAGACGAAGAATGACCGCCTTGTTGGCTAACTTAAACAAAGCTACCGTTTTATCTATGTCTAATCAGTTGATGCACTTAATGAAAAAAACGTGAAATTACATTATAAATAAATAAAAATAGCTTCTTTACATTCTAAAATATTACAAAAAGTACTTAGATAGCCTTCGGGATATGTCAACAGCATTCACAAACTTTAGGGTAACCGAGTAATACCTATGTCTTAACCATTATCCCCACCTACCCCCGCCTATCCCCGCCTACCCCCGTCGCTATCCCCGTCCTAAGTGGGTATTGTGCTGGCGGGGTACCTTTAGCTACCTAATAAATCGTTACCTTATTTTTCGATCAACTGATTGTCAAGTTGAGATGTTGTCCAATTTGTTTTTGCCTTTTCATGTCTTGTGCTTTAGGAATTACCTCAATTTCCTCGTTGAAGAAATAGAAAATCCGGCCAGGTTCGTTTAGCATCAATTAAAATTCCTTCTTAGTTCTTCAGCCTTCAGCTGGAGGGATTATATTTAACGTCTGCTTATGCCTTGATTTTGCTTGCAGAAATCTTCCGTTAGCGATTGCTATCAGTCTTGGCCTGGTAACCGGCCTAAACATCATGACAAATGTCGCCTACCTTGCAGTCCTTTCTCCGTATGAAATGCTCGCATCCGGGGATACATCTGTAGCTATTGCAGTGGTGCGTAGTTTTGACTGATAACTTTTATGTTGAATCTAAGTTAGGTTCAAGTTTTATAAGTCATCACAAAACCGGGTCAACACGTATTTGTTCCCAGAACAATTTTCTTTAAATTGGGCATTTAACCCGACATTATATTTTCTCCGTAGTCTTTAGCTGGATTTTATTTCTTACACGGTTATTAACTGCTTCGCGAAGGTAAACTGGCGGATTGCTCACCTTTTGGACCCTTACTGTGTGTGTTTATATATTTATCCGTTTTTTTAAACTGATCAAAAATGGATGGGTTTTAAAGGTTTTTTCGAAATTGGCTATTGTCTGATCAAGCTTCTCTGTTGGCAAAACGTCAATAATTTTCTTTCTTGAAGGCGACGAGTACTGATCGGTTTAATTTGCTGTGATTCAATTAAGTTGAAGACCT